TGTGCCATTTTGGACCAGGATGTCAATCTTCCTTGTAACAGAATTACTGATTTAAAATCATGATATTTAAATTAAATAATCAATACTATGGACAGTACATGGATTTTAACAAAAATCTTCAGGATAGTAGATGAAAAATCTGAAATTTAGAGAACCACTGCCTTAGTGGGAAAAGTAAAACTTTCTGTAGCCCAGCATCCTAGGTTGGAATCCCAGGTTTTAGCCCCAACATGAACAATCACCGAATCCTATTTATTAGTTATTATTCTGCAGTTTCTCTCCCAGTTCTTCTTTCTTATGCTGTTTGTTTTCTTCCTTCCTCCTAGTTCCCACAGGGAAAAAAAAAAGTACACATCTGGCTCCAACCTACTTTCTGATTCTTATCTTCCACCAAAAAATTCAGTTAAAGTGGGAATTTCCTATTTTTTAAGGGTGACTGTATCCACACTGATGTCGGACTTACTAGCAGTTACTTGCCTGGTGTGCTGATGGCCCTCTGTCAACTCGCCATCACTTCCTCTGTAAGGCAGAGGGGAAGCCAGGAAATGCTTTTTCCAGAATTCCTTTCCCTGAATGGATATAGGATAGTTTGCCAAGAAAAAAACACTAATACAAGAGTAGGAAGGCATAAGGGAAGGCGAAGTCATTATGTTCCAAGCACAGTGGCAGCCAGGCATTGAGATTCAATGAGCAGGATTCCCCACCCCCAGCCCAGCACACTTGTGAGAACTCCCCCATCTCCATCTAATGCTGGTGGCTTTCTTGACCTTTGATCCCAGTTTTTCCCTTGGTTGTCTAAGCCTCTGGTTCCTATGCTAAACATTTCATACCTGATATATATCAAGTGGCCTTTGCTTTTTAGACTGACACCTAACTGACCCACTTGATATGTTTTTTCTCTTACAAAGCCCTCTCTCTAAGTCTTACCCATCAATCAAAGTCCCAGCTTAAATCCTACCTTTCAGAAAATTCTTTTTCTCCTTCTCTCTGAATTAGAGATTTCCTTTCTTCTTCCAAACTTTCTGCTTTTCTAACTTACTTCCCTTCCTTTCTTTTTTCTTTCTATCTCTCTGTGTCTTTCTGTCTGTTTCTCTATTCTCCCTGTCTCGGTATTCCTGTCTCTGTCTTCTCTTTCTTTCTCCTTTTTCTTAACTTCCTTCTTTTCCCTTCCTTCCCTTCTCTTCTTTTTCTTCTTTAAATGCTTTTTGAGCAGCTACCCTTGGGCTGCTTATCTATTATTGCATAACAAACCACCTCAAAGTCAGCACTATAAAATAATGGGGCTATTTCATCATGTACACAGATTTTTTATGAGTCAGGAATTTGGAGAGGGCACAGAGGATTACTTGTCTCTTGCCACTACTATGAGAGCCTCATGTGGGAAGACTCAGAGAGCTGAACAATCTGGAAACTCTCTCACTCAAATGTCTGGTCTTAGCTGGGCCGATCTCCATGTATCTCAAATTTTCTTATATCATGGCAAGTGAGTTCTGAGAAAGAACATCCCAAGAATTAGAGTCAAGAAGCTGAATATTCTAAGAGAACTAGGAGGATGCTTTTGGCTTTTTGTTTCTTAGCTTTAGAAGTCACATAGGATCACTTTTGCTATACCCTATGGTTAAGCAGACACAAGTCCGTCTAGATCTAAGACGTGGGGACAATGACCCCATTTATTGATGAGGAAGAATCAAAGATTTATGGTGCCATGTTTTAAAATGCTTATACTGTTACAGCAAATACTTGGCACCCAGAAAGAGACAAGCAACATGTGCTCGGGGAATCAGAAAAGACAATTTATTTCGCACCAGTGCCGGCCCAACAGAGTCACCTCCAAAGGCTGATCCCCGAGCCCTGGCGCTGGTTTCCTTTTATGGGTGGGATTGCAGGGGCTCAAAGGAAAAAAAAAAAGGCAGGGGAGGGGGGCACTTATCGCTTGTGCTATGTGGGCAGTTGGAGGATGCAGGAGGCAAGCAATATTACAGAAGCCAAAAGCATGCAAGGGGAGTATCTGGCCTTGGACATCTGGCTGGTCCCTTTTTTTATCTGCTTTTGCCAGATTTCCTTCTCAGTACATATATACCAAGTCCCAGTGAGATTCTATGCTTAAAAAAAAAAGATGAAAAATACACTGTCTCTTTATTTCCTCAGGGTACTTTGTTGGTTTGTTTGTAACCATGCAGCAAAACCTTTAATAACATTTTGGACAGGTTTAGCTATGACTGAAACTGGTCATTTCTAAACTTAAGTTGGGTGAATGGCAAGAGTGCAGCATAATACCATCATTGGACACTGTCAACACAAGTTTGAAGAATGAATGGCCACCTCTTCTTCAGATGTAGGTCCTGGGGCAGTTGACACTGGATGCTGCAGTCAGAAACACGTGGCCATGTCCCTGCTGCGTTTCTGGAGGGCTGAGCCTCTGCTACTCAGGGGGTGTCCTCTCTATGCTGGATCTTGTCCTTTATCTTCTTTCTTTAAAATTTTTATATTTATTTATTTCTGAGAGAGAGACAGAGAGAGAGATACAGCGTGGGGAAGGGGCAGAGAGACTGGGGGGGGGGAGGTGGTGACCCAGAATCTGAAGCAGGCTCCAGGCTCTGAGCTGCCAGCACAGAGCCTGATGTGGGGCTCAAACTCACCAACCAGTGAGATGATGACCTGAGCCAAAGTCAGATGTTTAATTGACTGAGCCACCCAGGCTTCCCATTGTCCTTTATCTTTTTGATGGTGATACTGGGCTCCACCTCCAGGGCAATGGTCTCTACAGTCTGGACTACTGACTGACTAAATGCACTAACATTTTACATTAACAATTTCTTTTTTTGTGTGTAGTTGTGCATCCGTGGAGATTTTTCTTAAAACATGCATCTTATTGTATGTTGCATTGTTATTTTTATATCTAGCATATTTTTCTTGTTAGCATTTTCAGGATATTTAAGTGAATTTTGTACATATGATAGTGGCTGACAGAGTGTCATGTCCCCAGTATGATTTTCACAGACATTAATTGAGTTGGATTTTCTCTGTATATAATAAGAATTTTAAATGTTAAATGTTTCATGGAAATGGCTCTAAATGGTTCACACAATGTTGGTCAGTATCAAATTCTTCAGTTATATTTAGTAACTCTCACAGAAATGGTACAGGTTTATTGCAAACCCATTTCTTCCACAAAGCATAGTGAGCCCTTGTACAACACTGTGCTAGCCACAAGCATAAGCCACAGCCTCGGCAGACATAGATCCTGCCTTCCCAGAGCATACAATGTGAAGAGAGGTACAGATAAGGAACCTTTGGTTATTTATCACCTGTGTTTATTTATAATGCCAGATTGGTAAAGTTCATGTGCACGCGGAACAAAGGAAAGGTGGCAACCAGCTTGAACACAGAGAGGAAAACTTTCAAGGGTGAATGTTATGAAAGTGGGGAGATAGGTAGGAGGCATGAGTATGACTCAGGGATTCAGATAGGACAAGGCATTCCAGACAGAATGAACAGCTTTCATCGTGAGTAACATGGAGCTGGAAGAGTTCATGCAACTTTTGAGTTCAGTAGAGAAGCAGGAAATGGGGATATGACAGCAAGAGATAAGGCTTAAGAGGGAAACATTAGGGGTGCCTGGGTGGCTCAGTCAGTTGAGCGTCCGACTTCAGCTCAGGTCATGATCTCACAGCTCGTGAGTTCGAGCCCCGTGTCAGGCTCTGTGTTGACAGCTCAGAGCCTGGAGCCTGCTTGGGATTCTGTGTCTCCCTCTCTCTCTGCCCCTAACCCACTCACATTCTGTCTCTGTGTCTCTCACAAATAAATAAACATTAAAAGAACTTAAGAGGGAAACATTAAATTTATAATATAAGCTAAGTTTGATTTTTCTTCTGAAGGAAATGGGGATAAGCAGTGAACTAACAGAATCAGAATTATGTTTAGGAACATAGAACAGGTAATGAAAGGCACCCTACAGGGAGAGCTTTGAAAAGGCCAAGAAGTGATAATAGCCTGATTTTTGTAAGCAACACTGAAGATGGAGAAATTTGAATTGGTTTAAAATTTTTTTTTTAATTTTTTTAATGTTTATTTATTTTTGAGAGAGAGAGAGAGACAGAGACAGAGTGTGAACAGGGAGGGGCAGAAAAAGAGAGGGAGACACAGAATCCAAAGCAGGCTCCAGGCTCTGAGCTGTCAGCACAGTGCCTGATGCAGGGCTTGAACTCACAAACTAGGAGATCATGACCTGAGCTGAAGTCGGATGCCCAACCGGCTGAGCCACCTAGGCGCCCCTAAAAAATATTTAGAATATAATATCAGTAGAAACTGGTGACTGAATCTGTATAACAAACAAATAAATTAAAGCAAAGAACCAAGGATGACTCCAAGATTTTTCTGAGTTGAAGAACTCATTATATGGCAGTGTCAGTCATTGAGAATCAGTGTTGGAGGAAGAAGTTTGGAGGGAAGAAGTGGTTCAATGTGGTATATTATGGTAGACACAATACTGGGACCCCAAAGAGGGCCACATCCTGATTGCCAAAAAGGACTTTGCAGATGCAAATAAATTAAAGATTTTGAGGGGGCACCTCAGTGGCTTAGTTGATTAAGCATCTGACTCTTGGTTTCAGCTCAGGTCATGATCTCAGGGTTGGTGGATTTGAGTCCCGCATTGGGCTCTGTGCTGACAGTGTGGAACCTGATTTGGATTCTCTTTATCTCCTTCTCTCTCTGCCCCTCCCTCACCCTCTCTCTCCCAAAATAAATAAATAAACTTAAAAAAATATATAAAGTAAGGACCTTGAGATGAAGAGATTTTCCTGGACAGTACGGGTTGGCCCTATGTAATCATAAGAAGAAGGAGGCAGAAAAGTCAGAGTCAGAGAAGGAGATACAATGATGGAAGCAGAAGTTGGAGTGGTGTGAGAAAAAGCTGGAGGCCAGGAAAGGTAAGGAAATAAATTCTCTCCTATAGCTCCCAGAAAGAACACACAGCCTTGTGGACACACTGAGTTTAGGACTTCTGACCTCCAGAACTGTAAAAGAATAAATCTGTGTCATTTTAGGCTGCTGCATTTGGGATAATTTGTTACAAGAGCCATAGAAAAGTAATACAGGCAAGAGTTTTATGCTCTGTGGGATATTCGACTCAGAGGTCTGGTAAGCAATTGGACAGATCTGTCTGATGCTCAGGAGAGAGGGGAAGACCGGGGCATTGAGAATGGAGAAGCACCAACATTGAATTGGTGCTGGAAGCGAGGTGCCTGGCAGAGAATCCATGGATGGGAGTGAAGAGAAGAGTTCCCCAAATAGAATATAGGGCAACCCTAACCTTTAGGGATGGATAACAACAAAGGAAACTGGTAAGTAGCCTATAAAGTAGAAAGAGTGTAAGAAGAGTGAGAGTCAGGGCAAAATGAAGAAAGAAAATATTTTAACTGTGGGGATTTGATTATTAGTGTCAAATGCCACTAAGAGACATTAGCTCAAAGAAGTTTAAGTAACATATGTATTGAAAAGTGACAACTGGATAGGAAGGAACCATGAGGAGAGAGGTTAAAAAAGGAAGCAAGAGAAAATGCCCTGAGCTCCCAGTCCCTTAGAAAGGAGATACTGTACTCGAGTGGAGTTGGGGAGGTGGTGGCTGGGCAGGAGCAGACCTGTCTTTCTCTGGGATGGAAGAAGATGTGGGGACAACAGCAAAGTGGAATGCAGAACAGTGCCCTAGAAAAGGCAGAAAAATCCTTTTTCACTCTGCTCTGATCCCTTTTGATACTTGTCATGATGGCTACTGATTGTATAAAGTTTGATGCATGTAATAAGGAGTAAGTGATTTATGGAAATTTCTAATTTAAATATTCAAAGAAAAGCATGCTAATTTATTTGGGAGAAAAAATCAACAAGACACGTAGAAGTCTCCAAACAATAGAATGGTTTAAATTACTTAATTGGACTCTGGATGGGGTTCACAAGGTCATAGAAATTTGTAACAAACACACACACAAAACAAAACAAAACCAGTGTTACACTAAATGTAATGGAAAAAATAACTTAAACAGGAATATAACTCTGGTGGACTGGGAAATCATGAAATGTTTTAGTTCAACACTCATGAGAAAAGGTAAGGTGATGTTTTAAACAATTGAGAGCATTCAATTTAATCAGTCCCTTATCAAATATGTATTAATCGCCTATTATCTGCCAGTAACTGCCAAATAAGGAAGGGTAAAATATTAGGAAATAGAGGATATGAGTGCTATAGTATTTATTATTTATCTCCCACTGAAACTGTGATTGACTATGTAAGTAACATCCTTACCACATCCTTATCTTGGTTACACAGATTTTAAGAGTTGGTTTAAATGATGGAATGTTTTATTTATTGAGCCATAAAGCAAAAGGAATTATGCTACAAAACAGAAAGACACACACACACACACACACACACACACACACACACACACACACAATAGTTTAGATTACCTTAAAGACAGGTAAGCAAACAGGTGCAAAACAGGCAATTTTACTTATGTGCAGCAGGTATGTATCTGTGTATCTGTGTATGTATGCATGTATCTCTGTCTCTATATAGATAGATACATATATTAAACATGAAAGAATGTTCATGACCTGTTTGGTATAAATTGGTATAATCAAAGTTTCTCTTATAAAACTAATCTTTTCTAAATATTTTATTTGATCAATCCACATCTATAAGTATTACATAAAAGAGAGACCAACCTGTGAAATATACTGTCAAGCATCAGAGATTAAATTGGTTTGTTCTGTGATTCTGTAAAGTGCACACAAGAGAAATGATATGGAAGTGTTTAGGGAGGTGAATGATAATGGGAGGGTCTTGGCAGTTTGCTCTGGAGAGCGGTGAAGCAAAGCTAAAGGGAAGATTCAGAAGCTCTCTAGCATAAGAAAATAAAAGAAAGTAATCAAAAGTTGAATATTTTTCCCTTGGCAAAATAAGCAGTTTCACTGAATCCTTCCTGAAATAATTGTAAGTTGGAAATAGGTGAACTTGAGTCATGGTAATCAATTGAAGGGAATTAAATGTGTCATCTTGATGACCAACAAAAATGAGAAGAGATAATGCATGAATTTAGCTAGTTTTAGAAACTGGATCAAAGCTCATGGTCTGAATAAAACAACAACGACAAAAATGAATCATCTTTAAATGAGAACTTGTTATATTTATTGGTATAAATATGCATTCTCTACGTATACAAACACATTTCTATAAAAGTTGATAATGTCTTTTAATTCTTTGGTGATATTTTACATATAACAGAGCCCTTATCTTTACAGTTAATACTGTATAATCAGAACACATAAAATAGAATTTTTATCCTTGATTTACAAATTCTCCCCATAAAAAGCACTCAAATAAATAAACCCAATTTTGCAGGTAATCTTGGAATTCTATTTAGCAAATGACGCATAAGAAATTTATTTTGCCAATTTTCATGGAGTGACTCTCCTGACGATTTCTCTTAGACCTAAAAATTCTTAAGAACAAAAGTTCTCTTCGGCCTTAGCAGACTGTCCCACCAATGGCCTTTTGCACAGGAAGGAGAAATGAGGAAGAGAAATTGTTAGGAGTGCTACCCTTATAATCAAATGTGGCTTTGGAAAAAAAAAAACCCTCAGAAAGTAACCCTTATCCTTGGGAAATAATGACTACTTTACCTGAGTGGGCTAATGCCTGGAAGGAAGCCTTTGGATAATGAGTTCTACTAGAGGGGTATCTGCTCAGCTTTTATCAAGGAGGCAGATGATGAGATAGGGAGCTGAAGCCTAGTTGAATGAATATAAGCTCTATGCTGGAAACTAGGTCAGATGTATTGTTTCCATTTGAAATAAGGCGCTCTCAAGAACCAGAAATTTTTTGGGAGAATGCCTAGAAATGTACAGCAAGTAGACATATTTCTGACGAATTTTGCAGCCCCTTTGAAGCTGGCCTGCCTTGACCTCCATTAGCAATAGCCACACAATGATGCAGAGACACAGACGTTTTGGAATTTGCTCTTTTAAACCAATCCAAGTGTTGTTTTTTCTTTTGCGGCTATAACAATGGTTGTGGTCTGAGAGGTATAAGCACTATTACACATACTGTGTTCTATGTTAGCAAGTGTTAAACAATGAATATTATAATGGGAGATATATATTTAAGAATGCCTACAGGCCCTTATCTTTCCACTCCACGGTGTGGAATGGTTTATTTTTAATTATTTGAAAGCAAACCTTGGCTAATCAGAATTCTTTAAGTTTTTTTCACACTAAATTTACCACATACTTTCCATTTAAATAATTTTTCATCTATCTGGGCTTAAAAACTATGAGTATTTTTCTTAAGTGTGAAAAGTTATTACCCTGTAGACTAATTAGACAGCCATCCTTAGCTTTCCTAAATGAGTTTAGAAAAAAGAGGACCCATAGTGACAAATACAAATTTGGAGATAGTTCAGTTTAAAGTGGAAGTTTTATTGGAAATGATGTCATTGAAAGGAAGCATTACTTAGAAATAGATTCTTATATTAAGTCTGTCTTTGTGGCAAAGGTACTTATATGCATTCTATAATGGCGTCTCTTTTTCTTTTCCTATAATGTTCATTAAGGTTTGTTTCAATAAAACATTTCCTACTCTCTAAACTCATTTGTTAAGGATAGCAGATTCATTTGCTAATGTTTGTGTTAACTCTTATGATTCCATTGCTCAAGAGTTGAAAACCTAACAGGGTTTGAAAACTTTAGGTATATATGGTTCTTTCTCAATGTTTTTATGGAAATATAGGTAGCATTCTATGTGACATGAATTGCTGATGATTGAAAATTTATTTTAAAACTGGAGTGGAAGTAAGAAATTGAGAGGACATGTGGAAGAATTTTTTTAATAAAAAATATGAGCTTTTATGAGATCAATATGATTACACAATGGTAGCTATAGTAATAGTAATAACAATATCTACTCTGAGCACTGAGGTCAACAGAATTAGTTAAGCGTTTATAGAAGAAATGTATAGGAATGTAAGTCAGGATGGTTTCTTTGATCTGAAATTGAGCAAATGTATTCTAACATCTTTTCTCAGTGTTGAAAGCAGCAGGCCTAACTACATGCTGGAGAAAAATATTTCACTAGTTTTCCACAGACAGCCTTCACCAGGGCGCTATCAAAGCCAAACTCAAAACTGTGTGGTCAGGCTTTAAAAGCATCATTGCTACATGACAAAAAGTCTTTCATAAATGCCAAATGTACCATGGTTTAACCACTTACCAAGTGGCCTTCTGTAGTGTAATGCAACATTAATCATATCAAACAGAGAAAAGAATTCAGAGCTAAACCTGTCTTTTTATGTGTCAATTGAAATACTTGGCTTGATTTAATTAGTCTCAGTTGCTTTTGATGGAAGGCTAGGGAGATCGTGAGGAAGTTGCCTGGTACATTATTAATTCTCCACATCTTTATTGTCGTGCCAACCCTATTTATCCCATTTCGAATTCTCCATGTCCCCTTCCCTGGCAGTGACAGCTGTTAGGGCTGTTGTGGCCACTTTTTTTTTTTTTTCCTTTCCCGTTAAGAGGGCAAGCAAGCAGTTGCTGTTCTTTCCAATGCCCAGTAAAGGAGCAGTGGGAGCCTAGTGGCTGAGCGGTCCCCTCTCAGTGTGTCAGGGGTCTCTCCTTCGGGAAGTGATCAAGTCCTGCTCACTCAAGAAGCTGGACTTTGACATTGTTCTTTGACTTGACAACCTAAAATCCTTCTCTGCTTTCCTGGATGAGCCTGTAATGGCCTCTTTCTAAAATCAAAACATTGACTGTTACTTACACATTCAATCACAGGGTGTCACATTTGAGCAGCAGTGTTTTCCTCCCAGAATTCTGTGGATGCCCTTGCCCATTCATGTTCTGCTTATTGCATTCCTGCACATATCCATGGTGTGTGTGTCTGTACAAATTTGAAGAATGATCACTTGCAGGTAACCATGATGGATCAAGATACTACATGGCACTCTCACGCCTAGAATAATAATTTTTCTTCCAGTTTCAATAAAAATCTGTGATTTTCTTATGTAAGTGAAATTTTCATGCTTCTCACATTTTTATTTTATTGACTTCCAGCTCCAGATTTCTCTTTTACTGAGGTACCCTCCCCATCAATTGCAAACTGTCAACCAAGTTTACACAATATTGCCTTCCTTCCATCACTGAGTCCCATTCAACTAAATACATCATACAGAAACATCAGAACTAGGAAGAATCACCATGGACAAATAATATTAAGGCAGAGTTGGTTTGTGTTATTTTGTTTTTGTTTGTTTGTTTGTGTTTTTTTGGCCCACCTTAAGGGTTATTCCAAATGAGCTAGATTAAAATGACTAGTGCTGAGACATGTCTTTTCAAAAATAACCTCTGCAACTGGGAGAATATAATTCATGCTTTTGTCAGACTTACACTCAAGTATTTATTTTGTCAAGATGTATGATTCAAAGTTGGATAGTGCTTTTTTAAAATATATTTTTATCATTATTTTCAAACTTTGTGAAGTGGTTCTCATTGAGTTTATTTACATAATTCCTTAAGCCATGATTATTACGTAAGTAAGTCTTTTGATTTTTAAATATTTTTAAAATTTTTATTCTTTTTTGGAAAGAGCACAAGTGAGGGAGGAGCAGAGTGAGAGGGAGGGACAGAATCCCAGGCAGGCTCCATGCTCGGCTCAGAGCCCAATGTGAGGTTCCATCTCACATCGGTGAGGTCATGACCTGAGCCAAAATCAAGTCAGATGCTTAACCAGCTGAGCCACCCAGGCACCCCTGGAAATAAGACTTTTGAATCCTCATATGAATGCTGAATGAACCAAGCCTCATAAGGGTCAAATAACTTGCTCATGTGAGAGGCAGAGATGGAATTTTCATCCAGATTTTTGACTAAGAATAATATTTTCCCCATTATATTCTAGCTTCTGATTTTGTTCAGACCATATTTTTGGTGATGTTTCTTTAAATAATCATGAGGGAAAAAGACTAACAAGAGTGGGTTTTGTTGTGGTTCCAGACTTAAATTGTTTTACATATTTACTCCCAACAATGTAAAGTTTAAGATTTCCGCATTAAACATTTGGAGAAATAGGGGCGCCTGGGTGGCTCTGTCGGTTAAGCATGCGACTTCGGCTCAGGTCATGATCTCATAGTTCGTGAGTTCGAGCCCCGCGTCGGACTCCGTGCTGACAGCTCAGAGCCTGGAGCCTGCTTCACATTCTGTGTCTCCCTCTTTCTCTGCCCCTTCCCTGCTCATGCTCTGTCTCTGTCTCAAAAATAAATAAACAGTAAAAAAAAAAAAACAAACAAACATTTGGAGAAATAGATAGGTAAGTGTGATAGTGAGGACCTTGACATTAATGCCGCATAAGGAAAAATTATGAGGTTGGGATGTTTAATTGATAGAATGAAAGACAAAGATACATGATATTTGTTAGAAATATTTAAAGAGCTGTAATGTATAAGACAGGGCTGTATTTTGTTTCTATTGGAGGGAAACACAGGACCCTTTGGAGAAATAAAAGGAAATGGATCCACATGCAAATATTTACATAGATGTAAATGATAAGAAGAAAGATAATTAGATAGATAGATAGATAGATAGATACATACATACATACATACATACATACATACATATTACAGGAAATATTCAGGCAGGAGACTCATAGAGGAATTTTATTGCTTTGTTGTTTTTTTTTTTTCAGAGGAAATCACCCATATCTGAGTTCATTAGAATGAAGAATTAAAGTACTTTTCCAGGTAGGAGGAGCAAATATTGGTGAACAATCATGTCTATGAGAAATTCATTGTAGAATCTTGTTTTTAAGTTGTTATTGTATTCATTTTCTTTGATTACCAATGTTGTTGGTCTTTAATACTAGTTTTCTTCACATGTTTTGAAATTTTGGTTTTCAGACTCATCTAAGGTTTTGATATGTTTTTCTCTTTGTCTGAGCTTGTCACCAGGGACTCACTAACGAGCCACAATAACCCAGTTTTCTAGCCCTGCTTACAAGTGCTGATTGCCACCAGAGACTAAGGTCAAATGCCAGAAGCCACAAACTCCAAACAAGCCTCCATGACCCAATTTTTGACTGGTTTGATCCAGTTCAGACTCTGTGCTAACCCTCCAGATGACCGGGGGATTATTACCACCTGCAGTAAAACCTTGGATCTCGAGTAACTTGTTCTGCAAGTGTTCCACAACATGAGCAAACATTTCTAATAAATTTTAACTTGATAAATGAGCAGTGTTTTGCAATAGTAATAGTATGTGCTGCTGAACATCACATGATCACAGCTGAGCCAATGGTTCTTCTGTCTCTCTCTCTCTCTCTCTCTCTCTATGGGATTGTGGATGATTGTCTTCCATGCTTGGACACTTGGTCTCAGGCCATGCTTTTTGACAGAAATGAGTGATTTTTCAGAACATTAGAAGGTGCCCACAACTGGCACTAGTGTATTTTTTGTCACTTCATATCCATTCTGTTACCCTATGTCTTTTGATTGGAGCATTGAGTCCATTGACGTTTAGAGGGAGCACTGAAAGATATGAATTTATTGTCACTATGTTTCTTGTAGAGTTGGAGTTTTTGGTGGTGTTCTCTGGTCCTATCTAGTCTTTGCTGCTTTTCTTCTTTTTTTTTCTTTTTTTTCTCTGTCTTTTCTCCCCTCAGAGAGTCCCCCTTAAAATTTCTTGTAAGGCTGGTTTAGTGGTCACTAAAGGTCACTCCTTTAATTTTTGTTTGTCTGGGAAACTTTTTATCTCTCCTTCTATTTTGAATGACAGCCTTGCTGGATAAAGAATTCTTGGATGCATATTTTTCCGATTTAGCACATTGAATATATCCTGCCACACCTTTCTGCCCTGCCAAGATCTGTCTTCCCTTGTAGGTTAAGGACTTTTTTTCCCTCTTTCTGCTTTCATGATTCTTTCCTTGCCTGAGTATTTTGTGCATTTGACTCTGATATGCCTTGTTGATGGTCGGTTTTTGTTGAATCTAATGGGAGTTCTCTGTGCTTCCTGGATTTTGATGTCTGTGTCTTTCCCCAGGTTAGGAAAATTTTCCACTATAATTTGCTCACATGACCCTTCTACCCCTTTTTCTCTCTCTTCATCTTCTGGGACCCCTGTAATTCTGATGTTCCTTTTTAATGACTCACTGATTTCTCTAATTCTTAAATGGTGCTCTTTTGCCTTAGTCTCCCTCTTTTTTTTTCTGCATCATTATTCTCCATAAGTTTGTCCTCTATATTGCTGATTTGCTGCTCTGCCTCATTCGTCGAATGCAATCCATTCGAGATTGCAGCTCAGTTATAGCATTTTTTATATCATCCTGACTGGCTTTTACTTCTTTTATCTCTGTAGAAAGGGATTCTAACCTATTTTTGACTCCAGCTAGTATTCTTATTATCATGATGCTAAATTCTGGTTCAGACATCTTGCTTGTATCTGTGTTGATTAAGTCCCTGGCTGTCATTTCTTCCTGCTCTTTCTTTTGGGGTGAATTCCTTCATTGTGTCATTTTTAAGGGAGAAAAGGAATTAATAAAGTAAAAAATAAAATTAAAAAATTAAAAACAACACACACACACAAATCGAGTAAATGATGCTAGATCCTAGGTATGTTTTGGTATGGGTGTTGAAAGGAGCTTGATAGATTAGAGAAAAAAGGGAAGAAAAAAAAAGGAAAACGTTTGAAAATTTGAAAAAATGAATACAATGAAATAGAATAAAATGAAATGATGGAAGTAAAATAGAACTTGAAAAATTTACCAAAAAAATAAAAAATATAGTAGAAAAAAATTAAAGACATATTTTTAATAAAAATTGAAAATAAAAATAAGTTTTTTCTCTTTCTGTATTCAAGAAAAGCAATGAAAAAAAAGAAAATTGAATAGATGGACCAGCGAACAGACTGAAATACAACTGAAATTACTTTGTTTTCCCCCTAGAAGTCAAATCATGAAGCGGTTTACAGTCCGTAAACTGAGCACATGGAGAGACTTCTGTTCCTGAAGAGCGAGGTTGGCAGTTGGGCAGGGCTTAGTGTAATGGCTCCGTTCTCCACTAGATGGCGCTGCTTAGCCTACTGGGGTAGATTATCCTGGTTGTTGTAGGTGTGTATGCGCATGAACGCGGGGGTTGAAAATGGCGTCACTCAGATACCCAGTTGCGGAACTCTGTTCTCCCTGATCTATAATGGCACACACTTTGTCTCTGGCTTCTGTCCACTCCCCATTTTTACCCTGTCTGTGACCAAGCCCTAGGCAGCACCTCCCTCCTGAGTTTCATCTCAGATGTGGCTGTTTTTCCCGACCCCTTATTTCTGAGGGACTGTGGCTTTGACCGTTCTGCTCCTCTGCAGGAGGGTCTCACCGAGCACTGCCGGGTGCCGACTGCGCCCAGGAACGTTCGCAAGACCGTGCTGCTGCCAATGCCCGGAGACTATTGCTGGGTACTAGCCTGCCCCAGAAAAAGTTCACACAATTGTGTAGCAGCAGCATTTCAAGGTTTATGGAAAATCGCAACACACCTCTGGTACCAGGCTGCACCCTTTACCACCTTGTTCCAGCACCAGTGAATGTGGTTGTTCTTCTGGGTCCACTGGGGCCTTTGCCTTGACACAGCCTCTGCCAGATATCCTCCCAGCAGGGGAACTGCCTCTCCCCATGTGGCCTGAAGATCCCCAGACTACACTCTGCTCCTGAGGATTCACCCTTCTCAGCAGAGCACCACCAGGTATCAGCTGCAGAGTTTTAGATTCTGTGCTCCTCCTGTATAGAGACTTAATGGAATTTAAACCCTCTCCTTTCTCCTTCCTTTTTAGTACAGTCCCTGCAGCTGTTTCCACTTTTCCACTTTCTCTCCAGCTGCTTTTGGGGGGGGGTGTTTTTCTCATACTCTGCTCCCCACCCACCCTCCATCCTCTCTTTGCAAGCAAAAATAGCTCCCTGCCTTCTGTAGCTTCCCTCTCCCCCAGTTCACCACTCTGTGCCATGTACCTGCTGAGTTCTGTGGTTCAGGTTGTGCAGATTGTTGTGTTAATCCCCAAATCAGTTTTCTGGGAGTGCAGGATAGTTTAGTGTTGATCTGGCTGCATTTCATGGACGCAAGACACAAAAAACTTCCATGCTGTTCCACCATCTTGGCTCTCCCCCTATTTTTTGTCACTTCAAATTACCTATGGACGGTCCTTTGCTTTTCCACACAAGAGTAAGTTTAGGAATGCTTTGCTTCATTCTAAGTAAGGGTGTCTGCAGGTAGAGACCCTTTCCTCTGCTGTCTTATTGTCAGTTACATTAAATACAGTATATGACAAGAGTTAATAATACTGGACTGTAGTCAACATCCATTAGTGATAGTGAAAGTCATCCCACGCAATAACCCTCCTCTCTTGTGTCTCCCTCACACCAGCCACGAAGGTTTCCAAAGGTAAATCCAGGTTAATTTGTTTATTTTACTTCATATTTTGTATTTTCTTTATGATTTTGTGTTATATTACAGAGTTGTAATCATTTTATATGAATATTTTTGGGTTGTAGAAGGAATCATCTGAGCTTCCATTATTTCTTATGGGGAAATTTGCTTTGATATACAAGCGCTTTGGATTACAAGCGTGTTCCTGGAATGAATTATGCTCACATACCAAGGTTTTACTATCATTGTAATAACAAAAACACATTGACCGGTGCCAGGACAGATTCTACTGTGTCCACTTAAAGGAAGAAAACAGGTGGCACTCTAATTTAGAGAAGTCTCCTCTCTCTTCCCTGAAAAACCCCAAGGTCAGCTTTTTTACCAATCCTTAATTACCCTAACCCTACAAAACTATGACAATGAGACCTACTGGGAAAGAAAATGTCATATTTATTTATTCATTCATTCATTCATTCATTCATTCATTCTTTATTTAAAAAAGAATTTTAATTCCCGTACAGTTAACATACACTGTGATATTAGTTTCAGGTGTACAATATAGTGATTCAACACTTCTATACACCACCCTGTGCTTGTCATGACAAGTGCACTTCTTAACCCCCATCACCTATTTAACCCAATCCCCCACCTCTCCCCTCTGGTAACAGTTTATTTTCTGTAGTTAAGAGTCTGTTTCTTGCTTTCTCTCTCTCTCTCTCTCTCTCTCTCTCTCTCTCTCTCTCTCCCTCTCCCCCGCTTTGTTTTCCTTTGCTAATTTGGTTTCTTTCTTAAATTCCACATATGAATGAAATCATCTGGTATTTGTCTTTCTCTGATTTATTTTGCTTAGCATTATACTCTTTAGCTCTGTCCATGTCATTGAAAATGGCAAGATTTCATTCTTTCTTATGACTGAAGAATATTCCATTGTTTATATACAACCAGATCTTCTTTATTCATTCATCTGTTGATGGACACTTGGAAGAAGGTGCCGTTAGAGCATGAGTTCCCTTCTCCATTCTCTGGCTGTTGAATAAATTACCTGTTTGCCATCAAATACTGTTTTGTTATTTGGCTATTTGGCCAATGGTATTGAGTAGGGAAAGAACCTATCACTTCAGTAAGAAGCTTATCATGACCTATAATCTGTTCAGGAATGCTCAGTTGTGGGGCCTCTAAATCAGAACAGGCTCAATTTGCTGCTCCTCTGGAATAATATTGGGGAAACCACAGATTCCGTTGTTAAGTCACCAGCTTGGCATTTATTTTCTTTTTAAAAAGTTTTATTTATTTATTTTATTTTGAGAGTGAGAGAGAGAGAGCACACATAAATGGGGGAGGGACAGAGAGATAGAGGGAGAGAGAATCCCAAGCAGGCTCTGTGGTGTCAGCACAGAGCCCACATGGAGCAGGATCTGACAAACTGTGAGATCATGACCTGAGCGGAAATCAAGAGTCAGATGCTTTAACCTACTGAGCTACCTGGAATCTCCTATTCTGTTTATTGTCTGATATTGAAATGCTCACCCAATGTTTGTTTGATTCATAACTATGGGTTATATTTGTTCCTTTCCCTTTGATTTAAACTTTCTATACCATTTTACTGCTCATCTATCACTAGTAGTAGGATACTAGCATTATTCAACATGGTAGTTTACTGCTTTTAATTGATAAACTTAAAATTTAAAATTATTTTTATTATTGAATTAGATTTTTTGCCATATACCATTTTTTCCCCTTTTCCTCCTTAC